GCTCCGCGGATTGGTCCATTTGGACTTCGTTACGTCAATATGCCCAGGAAGAAAAAAATGGAAAAAGAAAAATCTCCAACGAGGTGTTCTGGGGCAGCATGGACAGGTCTTTTCTGTGTTGGAGTTTTACCCGCTACAGGGTGTACTTTGAGGGTTTGTGACTCTGCAGACCGTTTACATGCAGAAAAAGCTACATAACACACAAGGGGACGGGTAATAACCGGAAAGGCATGACATGGGACCTTTAATAAAAACTGCAATACATAGGGGAGGTGCATCCGAATATTAGTTCTGAAAAAATAATGGTTTCACAAACAACTTCCTACCTAGTAAAGGCACATTTTCCCGCCAAAAATCGAACTTTTATCCGGCATTACATTAACTCAGCTTCTGCAATGGACACAGCTTCAGTGACGTTGCCATTACCTTTTTCTCCAGCTTCATGTTGAGCCTCAGATCGACGAAGATAGGCTGTTTGAGGGGGGTGAAGTCCAACCTCTGAAAGGTCTTCAGCATGTCGACGGACTCAGCTGCTCCGTAGGTGGTCCGCGGGTAGAACCTGGGAACATACACGTCATCCACAGGCGCCCACCCTGTGAAGCCGTAGGGCTTCTTGCTGTCCGAGTCATCGATGACCCTCCTTTCTTTCTTCACTTCCTTCTCTTTGTCCTCTTTTTGGTTTTTCCTCTGTGGCCTAATAAACAACAAGGAAGATGTTGAACTGAGTAGGTCACACATGGCAGCTTATCTGCTGAGTGCACAACATACTGGTTATAGTGGATATAAATTCATCTGAGATTAAGATACTAAGAGCAGATTTTCTTAAACTAAAGTTTACAAACTCACTTGACAGCTGCAAAAGTCCTGACAGGCAGATTTCTTGGAGCGGTCGGTGATATACCTGTGAAGGCCGGACCTCCGGCTCTCAGCAGCTGCCTCTGACACCCTGCAAAAACGGGATGAAGTGAAAAAAGCTGCTAAAGAATAAAAGCATACAGACACAGGGTGCAGATGACAAAACTCAATGTAACACACTTAGATGCTGTGGGGAAGCAAATTAAACTGAATACCAGAGGTCAGATGTTTTTCTGTGATATAATAAAATATGTTTCAATGATAAGGAAAAAAACGTAATACTGTTAAAATACCACAAGAAAAGTATCTATGTGAATCCGAAGCAAAATGCATCACATGTAAACATCGGAAAAATGTGCCATTATATGAGATATTTTATTATTATATAATGACATTTTCTCATGAGGACAGAAAGCTCACTCATATGCAAGATAAAAATTTGCTTTGCAAATTCCACCTAGTCTGTTCACTGGCACTAGTTATGTCAAGGGGCTGCCATCAAAATCACTTTCCCCAAATCTCACCGTCTATGTGAGAGTATAAATACTTCTGTTAATTATAAGCAATACATCTGAGGTACTGCCTGGTAGCCCCTTCACTAACAAGTGAATTAATATACATAGCATTGGTTATTTTCGTTTTTTCCCTCTATGTTGATTTTAGACATCTGACAGTTATACACACACACTTGATAATAAGCACATACACACAGTGGCGACTGGTCATTAGGGGCACAGCCCCACCTAGTGTCAGCAGAAAGTATTACAAATAATAATTACAAAAGAATGCAAAAAGAAAATACATCTTAAAATTAGAGCTGTCAAGTTAACTAATTATTTTAACGCGATTAACGCATGTGTATTTTTTGTCCTCGACTGCCCCGTAGTTTCAGATCGCATCGAGTTTAAAATACCATACAAGCTGATGCTGACAGCCCCGCTCCTGCCGTCCGCTTGTGGCAGACCACACTTCCACGCTCACCGGCAGGCACCGACTGGACATCGGGAGGACCATGAGGGTGTGTGTATGTGTGGCGCGAGCGAGCGAGAGAGAGAGAACGGGCACACCTTACGTGTATTGTTGTTGTTAGCATCTGGCGCTAACGGATATAAGGAGCTGTTTCAATGAAAAAAGAGGAGCGACATTTCGCCGACAACTGTGCCGAGCACTTGACTTTATCCAGGTAGCCAGACAGTGGGACATTGTACGAAAAGTCAGCACACTCAGTGCGGGCAACATGATTGCAGGGTCCAGGCAGCTCCCGTTCGAGCACATGACTTGAGTTCCACATAGCTCCAACGATCCATCACAGTGCACACACACACACACACACACACACACACACACACACACACACACACACACACACACACACACACACACACACACACACACACACACACACACACACACATACTTATAATCATTATTAGTTATCAATTACAAGATTCAAGGCTGTGTCCTCGTGCACACTAACTACAGTGTTTAGTAGATGAGGATCGTAAGTCCCAAACTCCTCCAACAATACAACATCAATTAAGACGATAAACAATCAAACCGATTTAGAATACAAATAGTGTAAGAAGAAACAGGAGTATAGAATAGTGCAGATTATGTTGCAGACTAATGTGTGTCAGAGTGTTGTCAGAGACCAGGTACATGCAGGAGTCTGTAAACATGTAAATAGAATAAGATAAACAACCACAGGATATACAATTAAAATACTGTACAGCTGTCATTGTGATGAGTGTGAGCAGCAGCAGCAGCCTGCACATCACACACACCCTCCTGCTCAACACACACTTTACTACACAGTCCTGCGCACATGGCTCACACACACACACACACACACACACACACACACACACACACACACACACACACACACACACACACACACACACACACACACACACACACACACACACACACTCTCTCTCTCTCTCACACACACTCTCTCTCAAACACAGGCAC